AGATCAAAGTTTAAAAAAGCAAGGATAGAGTTCCACCACGTTATATGTACAAGCTTGCTACTCAAAGGAGTTATGTGTACATCCCTTCTTACAGAAGCCCTAACCGTCGACAAGCACATGAGAAAGACAAGAAAGAAGAATAAAAAAACGGTGAGAAAAACTGAAAGCTTTTCAAGGTAAGGGGACAATGACAAATTAAAGGCAAAAGAGCTGAGCATAGAATTCACTTGGCAAGGGCAGAGACTCTGAATGAAAGAAAATTGTTCCCTCTGACTTAAAAAAAGCACTAGTAAATACACAAAATTCCATTTCAATACACTTCCAACTTTTTCTAAGCCCAGGTAACAGCAATCTATTTAAGTCATATTCAACACTACTAATTCATGATACTTAAAAAGAATTTACCCAGATTTTTAGAGTTGGTCCAAAGGGAATGTGCCTTGAACTTGAAATGAAGAGCTCCTAAGAGATGGTTCTGGTCATCTAGATTTCAGACTTTCCTATGAAACATTTTTATACTTGACACTTCACAAGTGAAGAAAAAAAGGAAAACAAAACCAAATGTCACCACAGAAGCAACCCAATTTTCTATCTAGATGCACCCTTAAACATATTAGCCTTTAGCATAAATTAAGTTCATCCTTTAAAATGAGGTGATTAAAAATATTTGAAATGATAGCAAAACAACGGTCAGTTTAGGGCAATTCAAAAACAGAAAAGAAAAAGAGTGACATGATAACGTTGGTCAGCTTAAGTTTAATAATATCGGATCATCACATCTTCTCTGGGTAAAGTATAAGAACACTTATAACAATTAAGAGATCTCAGCAAGAATTCTAACTCTGCCCCGGTAAGCAAGACAGGCCATAATAGCACCTTTAATAAGAGCTCATAAATCCAGAGCAGCATTTATAAACGTCAGGGTGTACTTTTAGATAAAACGCAATTGGTTAAGCCAGAAGCTTCCCTAAGAGCAACTGATGAGAGAGGTGGTTCTCCAAGTGTCCCTCTCCTCTCCTCCCCACCAGCAGCATAAGCCACACCTGCAAACTTGTTAGACATGCAAACTCTCCCACCTCTGGCCTGGCAATCTGGTTTACCAAACCCTCTAGGTAGTTGTGATTTGAGGGCACTGCAATGAAAGATACTACAGAAGCTTGCACGCAAAAACAACAACAACAACAACAACAAAAACAAGCACAAAATGCCCAATTCAGTGTGTCAGGCTCTTCCCATTTTAGTTGACTCAACCTCCACCTCCATTGCCCATCCCTTTTAGTGGGCAGCCCAAAGAGTAAGACCCTGTTCAAACACACTTTCCAAAGGCCCTTAGAGATAGGGCCAATGGAAAAAAGTCATTTATTTTTTCATACATTACCACAGTAACATGAAGCATTGTTTACTCCTATAAGAAAGGTCCCCTTTGCAGGGGACATTGAGTATTTACAGAAAGATCACTTTATCCTGAGGAACCCAAATTTTGGAAAAGCAAATACAGAAAACACAGCCTCGAAGGCTTCCATATACACCTTTACAGACCCTGTTCTACATGAACTTTCCCTAATTATGACTGCCCAATAAAGAAAACGTGTTCTGGGCCAACTTCTACCGTCTGCACTCAAAGACATAATTTCCATGTAATGGAAAACCGTCTTACCTCATTCCGCCTCCTGGTCCCTCAGTCCCAAATCCACAGGGAAGCTGACCTGTTTTGTTTCTACACATCCTTAATGACACATCATGTCCTAGGATGTCCTTCGTTGGGTCTACATCCAGTGTACTTCTGGGAACGGCCATTAAAATAATGTTTATTCCTGGATTATAAACTCCATTTCTGTATTATAAATCAATTTCATTTGTGTGTAACCCTTTATTTTTATAGTTGACACATAGCCTCCATATTTACCATGCCATTTGATTCTCATCACAACCTGTGATGTGGGTACAGTTTTATTTATTTATCCCCACTCTGTAGATGAAACAACTGGAACTTAGTGCTGAGTGCAGTAAACAACTGACTATTAAATGTTATGGAGGAAACATATTTTGCATCAAAAATTAAAGAATTCATGATGTCCAAAAGAGCTTGCTTGAATTTGTCATCTGTCAAATAATATTTACCAAAATCATTAGGCAGGTTTGGGGTCTGGGTGGTAGTTTTCTGGCTTAAGAAGGATGGGAAGCAGGGAGATGAGGTAAGACAGACAACTCTCCCAATTACAGAACTGACATAATCTGCAATGAAATTCTATGGGGTTCATATAACAACGACAGTAATGTTGATGGCACTAAGATTAATTAAGCTCTTACGATGTGCCAGGCACCATTCTATGTTTATTAAATATATTCAAGAACCTATTAATATCACCATTTTAGAGATGAGGAAAGCAAGGCAGAGAGAAGCCAAGTAACTTACCCAAGATTACACATCTTGCTCCCTGAACACAAAGGAGGATGTGGGACTGGAGGTGCCAAGCCCTGTGAGGTTTGCCCTGCCAGCCATGGAAACCTGACAGGGGAGGGCAGCCACCACAGGAACCTGGATTGCTGTTCTAATGTTGCCATTTAAGCAACAGTCTCCCCACTCTTTCCACCAAAACATCAATCAATGTTCAGGTTTCAAGTACATGGGAGCACCAACAGCAGGTTCCTTCTCAGATCATTCTCTTGAAAATGGGGAAGGAGGGGCGAGATCTTGGTTCTCTAGATCTTGGTCAGCGATGGAATACTGGCTGTCTTGCCTAAAACTGACTTCAACTAATTTAAGAAAATTAGAGAGGAAAGCAGCTCTGGAGGAAATGTGCAAATTAAAGATGCATGTGGCACTGATGAGGATCTAGTAAGCTAGCAGAAAGTGAGGTGGGAGGCAAAAGTTCTTGTAAATGCTTATTTATGAGTTTATTTGAGCCAAACTGCTGACAATTGCCAGTAAATGCTTATTTTGTTAAGAAATGTAAGTAAAAAGGAATCCTCACGGGTGTAAACTACTCTCACCTTTTTTTCCTCAACTTTTTTCAATTGCTCACATTTTGGAATTGTATGAGCCAGCTTTTACATATTGGTCCATCTTTTAAGTGTATACATCCTTTGCTTAAACATGAAACAAAGATCAAGTTGAACATTTAGGCACAAGAGAAAAATCAGATGATGAATGAATGCGATCTTCACAGGCAAGTATACTATGATCCAGGTGTGTGTGTGTGACAACATTGAAAAGCTTCCTCAAATGTGTTTACCTTCATTTCCTGCCTCTAATTTTCACTGAATAACCTAAGACCACCATGAGAGCCTAGGAGATTCATCCAAAAACCCAATTTAACATCAAGTTCCAGAGCATTCCACATAATCTCCCCTCGAGGCAAAATCCCAAACCTGGGAGATGGGACTATGATGAGCACAGTTAGGTAACTTTTCATAGCCACATTCCTTCCACACGCTTTACTAATCCCTGCCAATGTGCGCTTCACTTTCCTCCTCTATAAAATGGGGATGATAATTCCTTCTTCATCAGGGTGGTGTGAAAAGTAACTGAGTTAATGCATGTCAAACAGCACAGTGCCTGGCACAGAGTAAATGCTCAAGCTATTACTAGAATTTGCAAAAAGAAAAAAAAACATTACAACAGAGAACTGCATACAGGAGGCTTCTATTGTGTTGGTAATATTTTATTGCTTTAAAAAATCTGAAATCAGAGCAACCACCAACACAAAAAAGTAAAAAAGTCTTAGAAAAGGGGGCGGGAGAAGCTATCTATCCATACTCATGCCACCTGTCGGTGAGTTTTGGGTGAGGGTACAGCCGTGAGCCTGCGGCTCCACTACAGGTCCGTGCTTCCCTCTTAGACGATGCCTCCTCTGCCGCGGCCAGTTCTTAACCAGCCTTTTGTGCGCAGGACTACAGGCGGGTCGGTGAACCCCCCTGAAACTGTACATGGAACTGGGTACAAAACGCTCTGGGCATTTTGGGGATGGGGGCGGGGATTCCACCGCTTTTCTCAGACTTTGATAGTGACCCTGTGGCGAGCAACTTGCTTTACAGGGTTAAACCCAGGAGATATCGACGGAACAATTCATTTCACGGAAGCTGCAGCAATAACCAGGACACCTGGGCTGTTAATCTGCTATTTGAACACTAGAGAGACCCGACACCGCGAGGATCAGAGCCAGCCAGGTGTTGCGTGGCCCCTCACCACTTACAGACCGACTTGTGAGCTTCACCGCTGAACAGTGACCGGATCCGCAACCCGGACTCGGGTTTACCGAGTTGAACTTCCCTTCCCTTCCCCCATCGCTTGTTCCCATCTGAGAACAAACTCAAAGGAAATTGGCAACTCTCGGTCTAGGGTTTCACTCCTGCCCTCGGCTGACACTTAAACCACTTCTCCCAGAGAAGTTAATGAAAAGAACAATTAATCCACACAAAAATCCAAAATCGACCCCAAAGCTCAAGAGCTCGGAAAGTTAGATTGAGGGCGCCTCTGCTGACCGTGAACATCTGCCCGTCGTCGTCGCTGGGGCTCATGCAGGCAGGGAGTACGCGAGGGAAGCAGGCAAGGTCTGGCTGGAGAGTGGGACGCCCGTCACCCTCTGCCTAGTCTACACGATACCGGCGACGCCGGTGAAAACGGGCTCGGAGGCAGCCAGGTAAGCAGGTAGATGTGGGCAAGTGTACGAACACACAAACGCGGCGGATTCAAGTTCAAACCAGTGCACACACCTCTTCCCCTTGCCGGGCAGGCGTTCTCACGCACAGCCCAGGCGGCCACTTCGTGGGGGAAAGCCTGGGCGCTCGACGGTCCCTCTTTTTGGAATGGACACCCCAAATCCCTTGTAAGACCTATTGATTCCCCTTGCCTCCCAGCCTCCAACCCTTGAAAAGCATTAGCCTCACTCCACCCTCACAGGCGGGTGCAGAAAACCCCCGGGACAGAGAAATGGAGGGGACAGGGGAAAGCAGGGGGTCGCCAAGGGCAGGAGACGCGCAGCCAGCGGCATACATACCCAGCGCGAACAGGGCGAGCTGTCCAGCCGAGGTGACCATTTTACGGGCGGCGGGCAGCAGGCGCTCCAGCCTCCTGCCCTACCTGCGGTGCCCGAATGCTGAAGCGGAGCCTCGGCGCAGGGGGGAAAAAGGCGCGGGCGAGGCAAGGCCAGCCCCTGCGCGGGCGGGGCGGAGGGAGGACCTCCGCTGGCACCCACTCTACAGTGCTGCCGGCCAGGCGGAAATGGGCAGGCAGTTACCGTCACCTCTCCACCACTCCAAGACCGGGGGCACTGCGGGCCACCCTCCCGCCCCAATGGGGGTGCCCCCCTAAGGGCATAGGGGTGGGTGTTTGGGGTTGGGGGGCGGAGGAGCTGTGAATACCAAGCAGGGCGAGGGCGGCGGGGCGGGGCAATCGGGGACTCTCGGAGCCCAGTACCTATGCCGAGGAAAAGGCAGGAAGCGCCTGACTTCACACACCACCCTCAGACTAGTAGCGCAGAGTGGCCCCCGGCCCCTGCGCCGGGGATTGGTGCCAGCTGAGGAGCCGGAATGTCCGGCGCAGTGGCAGCTTCTAGTCTCTAGGCGGCGGAGTGGAACCGCCCCTGCAAGGGGTCACCTGTGCCCAGGGCCACTGCAGGGGGGCTCACCCGAGCAAGAGTCTGGGGACACGGCCCGGAACGCGACGTGTGAGTTTCTCCGCCACCTGCCAAGACTTGGTCCAAGGCAAGTGCTCCTCAGAATCAAGTGAAGAATTTGTTAAACCAGATTTCCCACCAGCGCCCCCATCCCAGCGAAGAACACTTGATTCTGGGGATGCTTGCCGCTGGAGCACAGCCACCCCATGTTCCCGCGGAAGGCACGTTAACACCAGCGGGTCTTTGTACATCTGATCTGGGGCTGATGAGGACGATGAGTCTGTGTTTGCAGGGCCCCTGATTATCTGCCACTACCCCCAGCCCAGTCTATGTCACCTCGCCACAGGCAGCTGAGGCCAGAAGCAGGGTAATATGCTGACAAGTGCGCCCTGAGAGAGGGGTGTAAGTGCTGGAGCCACCTAGGTGTCCCTTTCAGGATTTGTGACCTTGAGCTGGCCTTTGGTGTATTTGGAGAAGTGGAGGGGACACAGGAAAGACATTCTGGGCAGAGAATGAAAGAACCATAGTTCCTTGAGGACGAACCATAGGTTTCCTGGGGACTATTTGGAGGGGACAGTATGCCTCAGGGAGGCAGTGACAAGTCATATTATCCAGATACCCTGAGCTCAGGGACTAATTCTCTTCTCCTAACCCCTCCAGCCTACTGCTCAGGGTAAACCCTCTCTCCTTGGGGGGTGGGGGTAAGGGGTAGGGGACAGGCGGGATCTCTTGCTGTTTCCTTGGCCCAACACTCAGACTCTCATGGTTGACTTTTGCTGTTGGTTTGATGTGAGCTGAGAAGCCTAGTTTCAAAAAGGCAGCACCAGGCCCTTGGCCTCAACATTTGAGCAGGAAACCCCAGTGTGGAAAGGGGTTTTGAAAACAGTGTGACTTTATTTTGAGAAACTATTCCAATACATTTGTCAGAGGATACTTTGCTGTTTTTTCAACCCTTAATGATCCATGATGAGGGGCTTATCGTAAGTCCTGGGGTACTTGTGCCCACACCCATGCACGTACAGGGCACACACACACATCCTTTATTAAGTGGTCCCAGATTCCCTTCAAGCATCTGTTTCTACCTCTTTCAGATTGATCTTGACCTGTTCTTGTGTCTCGTCTGTCTCCTTCCTGGACTATCTAGCCTTGGCTAACGGAAGGGAGAAAGGTGGAGTTCTACAGGCGCTTCTGTTCTCCAGGACCTACAACTAGGACTGGAGAAGGGACCTGTCACATTGTTTCCTGCTGGGACACACACATCAAGTTCAGTGCGGCTGAAGGCTGGCTGTCTAAGCTGGTGAGAATCAGGTTCAGCAGTTTCCCTTCTCTGTCCTCTGCCTACACACAAAATCAGGGCGGAAGGGAAACAGCAGCAGAATCAAGCCAATGAGCGTGTCCCCTTCAGGACTGGAAAATCTTTTTAATCAAGAGATAATTTACCATCTTGTAAACCAAATCCAAGCATGCTAATGCTTGGAAATTGTTGATTCTCCCCCAACATTTTCAAGAGGCAATCCATATCTATAGTTTTATAAACCTTCTAATGTATTCAAATCAAATAGATAATCAAAAGTTGGTTTTTTTCTTTTTCAACATCTACAGCATTTTTGGTAAACTAAACTGAAATAATTTTTTAACATTTATTTGTAGAACTAGGAGGACACCTAATATCCTAAAATGTTAACACTCTGCCTTTGGCATCTTATATATCTCATTTAATCTTTGCAACAATCTTATGAGATAGATTCCATCCCCCTTTTATATTAAAACAATTGAGACCTAGAGAATTTAGTAACTTACCCAGAGTTACAAAGCCCAGTTTTGAAAGTAAAATGAGCTGGTTCCAAGGCTTATGCTATGCTGCCTCAGTTTCCACATTTTAATAAGAATAACACTGAACTCATTGGGTTGATATGAGGGCCAAATGCAAGAATTATTGGCATGCTTAGCACAGTATTTGATATCAACAAAACTAGCTATGGTTTAAAAAAAAACTCCCTCAGAAAGCATACCTTCCCCTTCTCTCAGTTTCTTACCATTATCTTTATTTTCTCATTTCCATATCAGAACTTTGCTGATGCGTATGCATGTATGTCTATGTATGTACACAAACACACCTTCCTACAGGGGATATTTCATAGGTAAACCAGGAACTATGAATTTATTTCTCAGCCTGCGGTGTAAGAGGAGCGGGGGAAAAAAATACAGAAAGTGATTTAGAGCAAGGAAATCATTTTTTCCTAAAGGGTGGTGTGATGCTTTTGTATTTTAGCAGTATGGAATACATTGCTCTCTGAGCTGAGTGTATATCCAGCTGTAGCCCTGGAAGCTATGTGGAGACATGGGTGCATTCCTTCAGCTACAGGCACTGTAGCTGTTTCGCGTGGCTACCGAAGGTCCTGTTTTTGTGTGCACATGCAGCCTGATGAATAGACGGCCTTCCCGCTAGGAATCTGCCTGGGCTGCCTTTGTGTCAGCAAGCCCTGAGCTCAAGGATAGCCCCTGCTGTAACAAGCCAATCACAGCCTCTCCTCCCTGTTCAAACAAGAGAACTATGTTCTGTTCTACTCAGAGGATAGTAAAACCCCTCTGTCAGATTTCCCTTTCATTTCTTCTACATACTTATTACAGAGTGTATGTTTAAAGAGCCCCCTTCTTCACTGTAATCAACCTCCCCCTCCTTCCTGATTCATATGTGGAAGTGATTGTGGGGCCACTAGTACCGGAATCTTTCCTGAATGAATCAGCCCCTCTGAGTTCGCTGCTTAGATCGGCAATTACCCAAGACATTAGTGAGTAAACAGCCCAGACATTCTCAGGGAGGCAGCCCAGCCATGGGCCACAGCACTGAAGGAATTACAATTCCTGCACACAAGCCTCAGAGAGCAACGACCACAGTCTGTTTCAGGGGCTGCAGGACCGTCCGTTGGTGGCAGTGGCAGACAGGAGGACTCAGGGGGAAAACACGAAAGGGTGCCTGGCACAGTAGGAGGGCAAAGATCAGATGTCATCTGTGTATGACAAAGAAAGAGAGAGGTTTTATAAAGGACTCTGGGGAACCGTGTTTAGGAGGAGTGAGATTTTAACGAGTTAAGGGATTTAGGGGAAAAAATCCAATCCAAAGTAAGGTATTCCCCAAGTATCAGCCCCTGTGAAGACTTAGCTATCAGTGTATTCCTTATCTCTAGTCAAAGGAAAAATAGGAAACCTTATGCTTAACCCATTTTTATAGTTTTCATCACCAGCATCATTGGTGGGGTAAGAAGTCATAAGAGGCATTTGCTTTTGTCCTCAGCTACTGGGGTGATATTATTCATGGCCACTGGAGTCCAAAGACTGGTGTGACCTTCTGCTTAACATCTTGCATCCCCCAGCTCTCAGGTCTTCCTTGGGAACTCACTTTAAAGTTATATGTTAAGCTTGAATCCTTCCTTCTCAAGGGATATCACAGGATGGCCCTAAAGCCCAATATTGGGACCTGGAGGTTGAAGGTTCCAGGGGTACTCCAAGCAGGTCCAAGACGTCAAGGCACTAGGTTGAGTCTTTAAGACGTGCAGTTACCAGATGGCTGCTGCAACTAACGACATTATCTTCTCATACAACTTGTGAACTGCCTAGATAACTGAATGCCATACAGGTATTCAGAGGATTCAGCACAGCTCATATCAAACCATTCCATTAAGCACACTTGCAGCAGGAAGAAGAGCTGTGCATTCAATTCCGTCCTTCCTGTCTTTGCTGCTGCTCTCCCAGCAGCCTCAATCATACAGCAACACCATTCTGAAGATGGAGAAGATTGCCCCCAGAATTCTCCGGAGTGCCAAGGAGAAAGTCCTAAATCAAATGCCTGGGAATCCTTGGGCAAGTCAAACTAACGATGTGGATGGCAACAGGGTAGAAGCAAAGGGGAGCCAGGAAAAAGAACATATAAAGAATTGTGGAAGGAGAAATCAAAGAGAGATAGAGCTGCAAAGGGGGCCTCATAAATTTTTTTTTCAGTGATCGGTCAATCTCACTGTTGAGCTTGCCTGACAAGCTCAAAAAATTCTCCCTGAGCTCAGAAGAAAAGAAAAATAAAATACAAGAGATAAAATATGACACAGAGAAAGACAAAACCAGGGTATCCAAAATATTTTTAATAGGGAGCCCAGAAAGGAGCATAGAGCTGGCAGAAGAGAAAATGTTCTTGTTCCCCAAACAGGAGGGATTAGTGATGAGAGGAGGGGCTTTCACATCTCATAGGCCTACAAGAGGAAGGGGACTTTACCTAAGGAGACTATGAAAAGTGCAAGGAAAACTTCCATTCTGTGATAGACATTCAGACCATCACATTAATCCTCCCATCCTACCTTTCTTCCAAAGTCCTATTGAAACTGCCAAAGGAAAACAATGATAGGGGAAAATACCTCATTGTTCAAAACTGAAAAAAGGATTCCACCCACATACCAGACATTTCAAGGAATTTCTGTTCGACTTAATTCAGATGAGACCAACTTGAGAGAAGGGTTTGACAACCTTCAATTCCCCTTAAA